TTATATTTTGTGTATTTTGGCATCAATTAAAGTCATGTTTGCTGACAAACCATCTGCCAGACAGGAGGGAAAAATTTTATTTGCAAGTTTCTGCTATAGAAGAATTCTAGTACTAATATTACAATGCTTTATGATTTTTTAATGTTCGCGCCCATAAATATGGCATGTAGCTCTTTACACACATTTTCTATTTCAAATGAAGAGGGCCATACCATCTTCCAACATGCATTTAATGTTGATGCATTCAGTGAAAAAGATATGATGTTGATACAGTGCTTGATTGAAAGTTTCTTTTAAGCTTCCATTACATTAAATGATTTTGAATTGGCTACATCTAAAATCCACTGTAATGCTTTTCATATGTAATGTGTTTTAAAGGTATAAATAATATCTTGATCCAATGGTTAGAGTAACGAAGTAGTGTTAGGTGGCAGGAACAGTATTTTGATACTGGGATGATTCAAATCTTGTGTGTGATGTGGAGAATTATCTAATAGTAATAGCGCCTTGCAACTCTATTTTTTTTTTTGGCCTTATATAATGTTCAATGTCTGGCACAAAACAATTTAAAAACCAGTCATAAATTTTCAGTTACCGAAGCTCTTGTCTTTGCTTTTCACTATACCGGTAAGGTACAGTCAAAAGTCGTTAATCCGGACTCGTCGGGACTTCGGCGATTCCGGATTATCGATTTTCCGGATTATAGATCATCAGTTTAAATCTGGTAAGATGGCATGCAGAAATTATAAAATTAAAAATATGAAACCGTAATTTATGAAATAAAGAACAATTATGATCTAAAGGGTATCAAAATTTACAAAAAAAAAAAAAAAGCTTAATATTTATTTGTTTACTTTATTAAACATTTCTTTCAATGTAAGTTGTTTAAGTTTTGCTTCGTTTTTATGTGATAATACTTTCTCTTTAATTCTATAAACAGACATAATTTCTTGTTCAGTTATAAAGTTCCATTGTTCAAGTCCTGTAATTGCTGTGTCTAGAATACTGACTAATTTATCAATCGAAATTTTTTCCGTTTTCAATAACCTCTGTCACTTTTTCTTCGCTATCGGAAGCGAATTATAATGACGAGGAATTTGATTTAAATCATATCAAAGACGGAGTACATCGAGATGAAATACTACATTTAATAAGGAATTATAAGCCAAATAAAATAAAAACATCTGCCCTGAAGATAAGGATAGTGCTGACAGATCAACTTCCAATTCATTGCACACCCTGGCCGATAAACCGTTTAGCAAAGCGTGAAAGTTTAGATAAACAATTTTTCGGATTTCAAAACATACTTTCGCTTTGTAGATCCTTTACATATTAAAATATATTATCGGAAATTCTATTTGACATAATCGAAAGTTCAAGCTTACTTTTATAAAATTGCTCTAATAGTCTGCAAAAAATAATAAGCCGGATCCAATTTGAAGATTAAGGAACAACGCAATCTGCAACATTAACTGAAATAGATAATTAGATAATTTTTTAGCTTATACTGTCCATTGTACATAAACGCGCACTCGTAAACATATTTTGCACTTGCGCACACTCATATTCGCAGTTGTAAAAGGTCTTACGCGCACGCGTGAACGCCTCTGCGCATGTGTCAACACGGCGCATGCGCAGAAAGTTTTTAGTTTTGATGTCCGGATTATAGATCATTCCGAATTATGGGTGTCCGAATTAACGACTTTTGACTGTATTCTTATTTATGCCTTTAAGTGCACGAGAATTTAAAGATCTGTAAACTAAAGGGGTTTGCCATAAAGTTCCCTGATGCATTACTGCACAAAAGTAGTGTTAGATGATCTTTAAATGCATTAAATGATCACCTTATAACTGAATCTTTAAATGTACACCTTAAATTCGGGTTCAGTTTTTTCTTTTTTCGATATAAAGGTTCTTCTAGGAATTTTTTTTTACCAAAGCTCAGTTTTGTCGGCATTGAAAACTTGATCTGATGTGTATCCTTGCTCTTCTAAAATATTCTGAATATTTTTTAGGATACGTCCTAGCAGCTTCATAATCAGCCGATGCTGGTTCTTCTTGAATTCTTATGCTATGAATTGCAAAATGATTTTTGAAATTTACGAACCAAGCTTTACTTGCCGTAAAATCTGGGTCAACGGAGGATTCTCCATTTTCTTTAAGGTGCTTGTAAATTTTGAGTTCTTTTTGTTTAATGATATCACCATCCAATTGAAATCGTTTTTGACAATTATCATTGATCCAGATGCAGAGTGCCTTTTGCAGCTTCTCAATTATTGGTGCTTGGGGGTGAGCTGCACGTTTTGCGGATGTTGAAGATCCTGCAGCAACTGCACTTCTCTACACTGTTGCTTCATTCAAATAAGAATTTTCCAATGTGAGATGCCTTTTCTTTTTTGAAAGATGATCCGAGATTGGTACCTTTACTTCTAAAGAAATAAATTTCCTTTTAAACATTACGTTTTTTTAAATCTTTATTAGACATGCTTTGGGACTGAAACTCAATGTCTTAAAGACAAAAAAGTTATTCTTTAACACACCATGGCTCGTCACAGATTGCTGACCAGCAGCGTGAGACACTTTTGTTTTCGAGCCACGGAGATGAGGATTTGAATTTTGGAAGCTGAATGTGCAGGTTATGCCTTTTTGAGCTCTTATTGTGACCTCATGTTGTTCATCTTCTGCAGTAGTGAGGTTTCTTTATTGTTATCTGGTGATTGTGCTCTCTTGAGACTGAGTATTGTTTCTATTCAGCTATTGTGTTTTGAAGGTCATGAAAGGAAACGATTCTTCTCCGTTACTGGTTTACCGGTTAAGAATTCAACCGTTGCTCTCCACCACACTGCTTCTCACGCTGAGGACATTTTTTTTTTTATGGGAACCGGATCTTGGAAGACAACTGGCAAGACTTACAAAAGAAGGATTCTTATCTGTTAACTGACTGTGTGGGTGCTTTGCTCAGTATGGAAAAACTTCATGTGGAGTTCGTTAAATTTCTTCGGATTGCTTAGGCAATTTACTTATTGGGTTAGCATGAAACTGCATTGTAGGTAAACTGTGTTGTAGGAGAGTTCTCGCAATTTATGAATCGTGTTATAGCAAAACCATGTTACAGGATGCTGTGTTGTAGGAGGGCTACCTGTACCACAGTGTGGTTTCAGCATATGATATAACTGAAGCCCAGTTATTAATCTCCATCACATTTTCATGTGATGAAGATAAATAACATAATTCAGTACAACAATCTTACTGAAGCTATTGTATACATACTTTGTTGAACTTACATAGTCAGAAAACTGTGGAACTCTTTCACATTAAAAATGTTGGGTGTCTGAGATATTTAAATTTCTTATTGGTAGATATTTATTGAAGTGCCTTTCTGTAATTCTGTATGTACTGCTCCCAAATTCGTGAATACTGAATCTTTTAAGAACTCTCCTTGCAGTTTGTCTATTCCATTTTCTGCATCGTAAAGGAAAATGAATAGTCTTGGCTAGATTTAAAAAAGTTGGGAGCAGCCTTGAAATACATAGACTATCAGTCTGAGAAATTATAGGAATTGGTAATTCATGTGAAGGATTTGTCTTCTGAATTTAGACAGGAAGTTGAAAATTAAGTACTAGATAGGGGAGATTCACAAAAAGGAGAAATATGCAAGTAAATATACACTAGTCATCAAAACTAAAGGATAATGATGGAAATTAAACATAACAGATATTTAATAAAAAAATATGGTACTTTTCCGTTTTGCCGGCGCAAATCTCGCCAAGCAGACTTTATTGGCGACAACATACAGTATACACATATAAAAATATTTAAAAAATTTTAGTTCTAAGAAATTTTTATTTTGAAGGCATAAAGATTTTAATATCGCTTTAAATTTTTGTAAAATGAAATCCAATAAATAAAAGGACAATAAATTTGTAATAAAAAGACATTAATTTAAGGAATTTTCTATGCTTTCATGGTTCTAGATCCTGATTCGACCGTTTCATATCACGTGACCCCACGTGATCTCATCTCACGTAAACTACGCTACAAAAATCTAATTCTCTCAAATAATTATCTACATTAATTTCAAGTTAAATCTTAATTTGGAATACAAGTTTAAATGCAAGCAATTATTTCAATTCGTGCACGAATTGCTTACTCAGAAATTATGTAAAACCGCAGTGCTTTACTTCGCTAGTGCATTCTCATTAGAATTGGAATCAATTTAACCCTTGGCTTTACGCCTTTTCTAATATTTTTGGCCTTCGAGGTGAAGCGATGTGATTGCATCCTTTAATTGACTTAATTACCGAAAAAACGGCCTTAGAGCATAAAATTGAATAACTATCAGATAAAAATTCTATGTAATTATATGCCAATATTGAAAGAAACAATCAATCTGATAAGAAAACACTGTGACTTGTTTTGAAAATGAGGCGTAAAAGGTTACCAGCGAGAATATACCGTTTGGCATCGGTTGTACCATTATTGGTGACTTTATCGCTTGCGCCGGCAAAACGGAAGAGTACCAAAAATATTAATAGAAGTTTGTACAGAAGCATTAGTTAACATAAATTACAATGCTTGGCAATTAGATGGCTGCCTAAGTTATATAGTGATTACATTAACAAAACAAAAAACTTAGCCAAGCAAGGCAAATTATTATGAATTTTAATTTGCAAGTCAGGTTTGGTTTTGGGTACTTAAAGTAGTTTGCAACTGTACAACCTTCTTTATAATAGTAAATGATGTATGTTCACATAATGGTCCCATCATATATTAAAAGTTCTTTCTTGTTTTATAATTTTCTTTTCATGGGACACCTTTATATTGCTAGTTTGTTAAGTAAATTCATATTAATTTCAAGTATTTATAACAAAATACTGTATAATATATTTTATATTTTTTCATTTTATTATTAATGTATGAAATTTGTGTGAAACTGTATATTTTTATTTTGTGTCATATGCTACAAGCTAGTCATTTAAAAAAATTCTTTTTTTGTGTAGGCAACTTCTTGAAAAAGAGCTGGAAACTGTAGGCATACGATTGAACAAAGAAAAACCCAATATTTATTTTAAGGTTTGTTCTGTTATTCTGTTTATACCTGTAATTGTTTTTAGCACTACCTGATATTGGTTTTTGGGCTTAGATTGTAATGAGTGATCAGAATTTCATGCAAAATTTTCATTTCACTTGGAAGAATTTTTTAATAAAATATGTTTATGTTATTCATTCTTTAATATATAAATATTTATACATGAAATAATGTAATAATTAAATTATTAAATTATTTCATGTATTAATATAATTTTTCTCAAAGTGTGGTCTGTGGACAATAAGTAGTCCTTCAAGTCTGCTTTTCTGTTCTTTCATATATATTTTCAAAATAAAATCAATTAAACATACTACAGAGCAATTCTTTTATACAAAAAATTAAAGGGAATTCAGAAGAAACTTTGTTTGGGGATTAGTTGTGTAAAATAGAAGAATCTTTCATATTTCCAACCTTATAACATTTTTAGTAGAAAATTATACCATTATTAAAAAAGAATTGTGCAATGATATATGTTTGCATCTCAAAACTCTGAGGTCACAATTTGAAACTTATTTTAAGTGGAAAATGTAACAAATTTTCATGGTTCTTAATACTTTCATTCTGATTTTGAAAATAACAAACTGTTATATAAAGTGAACAGTTAATTGAATACTGGACTTAAAATGACTTAAAATTTAATAGTGGCTGAACACTGTAGTTCTTTCCAAGGTTCGAATCCTACGATCGGGCTGGATTCCTGGTCATTTTCATGGTTTTCGTCATGTGTAACGTGTATACGAGCCAGTTTCCCATAGAAAATCCTCCATGAAGGCATCCCTTCCCCTAGACAGATAGTCCTCGAGGCTTTGATGTAATTAAATAAACCAAACCTTACCTTAAAATTTAATTTCAAGTAGATGGTGTGGCTAATGTCTGGATGTCATTACCAGTGAAAACTGAACTTAGTGAATCATACAATGGTGCTTTAAAAACTGTAATACAATTTGTTTGCTGTGTAAGAAAGAGGTTTCATTACTAACTCATAAAAACAAAGGAACAAAGGCTAAAGTGCAGAATCGCTCACTTATTTGTTTGGCGCTTTTTACAGAGTAAGAAGAATTGGATTTTTGTCAACGTTCTTTGACTTTTTAAGTGAAAAATATGTCGATGTGTACATGGATAAAGTCAAGAGAGTGCACAGTGCCATTTGTGCAATTCTGGGATTTTTTTTAAGTGAAACTAGGTCGATGTGTAACAAACATAACTTTTTTTCTTTAAAATTGATTAATGATAATATAAAATTAAATTAATTATAACTAATTTTATTTTGAAAATATAAGTATTCTATTAGTAACATATTCTAAAAAATAACTTTTGAAGGAAGTAAGAGTAAGGTGGTCTGCTGAACATTCTAATTTTTAAAAGTGATTGCCACTTGAAAGAAAGTTTGATAAACATTGCTTCAGTAAATTGAGAAGCATAAGCATCAGAAAGTCTTAAAATCTCGCCTTACTGAGCATACATTTATGTATCTTATGTTAAATTTATATATAATAAATACAATTTCTTTTCTGTCATAATTTTCTGTACCCCATCATCTGCTTTGTAATATATGATTGAAATTGCTGCATCATGAGATAGAAAATACAATACAATTGAATTAGAACTAATATAAAATGCATAGAATGAATTAATATAAAATACATAGAATAAAGTAATACAAGTTGTTAGTTAAGGTATTAGTTATAGTTTTTCCAAAAATAGTTCAATAAATAAACACAGATTACTCACCTTGAGGTTTTAGTTTTGTTGAGTTTTACTTCCGTTTTGGATGTCCGAATTCTTTGATGGTGAACATTACTTTCTAAATTGGTAAAATCCAGGGTTCATCCATATTCGCAGGAACGACTTAATATTTTGAAAGCATTTAATAAAACAATTAAAGTTACAAACACCTTTTTTCCATTTTTACAGAACACAGTATATACAGCGAAAATTCTATGCACTACATTCAAATCAAAACTTAAGAGTTCTTTGCCAGGTTACTGTTACAGTTTTTGAGGTAGGAGATCTTTCGCGATAATAGTTATTAAGTTTGATAATATTTCATGTATGGTTGAATATATAAGTATCCTTTTCCAACACAAAAGAATTCCTCATCCCAATTCTTAACATTAATTTACAGATTTAATTTGAAAAATGTGCATTAGAATATAGCATTTATTACCATTAGAATATAGCATAGTATTTTTGAAATGCATTTAAATTTTGGGAATGTTAGAACAAAAATTATTGATAAATTTCCTGTTTATTTTATATGCTGGTACTTATTTCTTCCTCCCCCCAATACAAATTTATCTGCTTTATTATAATTCATACATTGCTGTTTGCTAGCTTAATTTTGTTTAAGATAGTTGATATTGATTAACATTTCACTTTAATATTAGCATTTTACTAGTTTTAATAAGTATTTTATTCTTAAAACTCTTTTTATATGTTCTTATCAATTCAGGTATTCGATGCTCTCAATACTTACCCTTTGTCAGTTGCAAGATTAAGTAATTCTATCTTCCCAAATATGCACTTATATCTATTAGTCATGATGGGAGCACATGGCACTTGCTTTGTTAAATGCTGCTATCTGTGAGGGTGAAAAATAGAGTCCTTCTTGAAAGGAAAATTATGTATGAATCTTTATACAAAGTTACTCTTTTACACTGATTTTTAAGAAAATAATAAAAACATTATATTATTCTCTATAATAAATTTAATGAAAGCAATACTTTGTTACTTTCTCTTATATTTTCAGATGTTATTAGTCTGTAAATATGTTTGAGTACTGAATTTTTTAAACCTAACAAGACGTGTTAGGTAATTTATTTAAAAATCAATAATTTACAATATAATATTATAGTAATCAGAAATTTAATTTAAATGTATATATTTACTTAAAAACACTCTTATGATTGATAGACTGAAACATGGAATGGTACACAAAGCGGTATATCTCACTTCTAAAATCTTCTGAACTTTCAAAACAAATATCTGTATCCAAGTCCAAATCATTTTCATTACTTGATAAAAGATTTTTGTCTTCAGAATCAGTTTCTTTGTTAAAAAAAAAAAAAAAATCTTGCTTTAACTTTCTTTTTTCTGCCGTTTCTAGCTATAATGCATATTCAAAATATAGCAATAAAACTTTCCCCAAAAACTTGCCAAAATTGACCTTATTATGCAGGAAATTTCCCAATACTCCTACTGCCATCTATAACAAATAAAATCAATTGATTTGAGAGTTTCACTCATTCATAACCTTAAAAACCATTAGATTATATTGGAGAATAAAACCGCTTTATCTGCACACATTGGAGTAAAAATCTAATTTGCAAGTGGGACTCATTTGTTATCATTTAAGCAGAAATTTTTACTGTGAACTCTATTCATTTGTGGCCCCTGCAGTGCATAACTGGAATGCGAATTGAACTCGTTAGTGGCCATAAAATGCCTAGATTTGGAGTAATACCAACTTTTGAATAATGACGTAGCTTGAAACATTTCTCCTAGTGACCTTCATGAAAATTATGCCATCCTATTAGCATGTATCTGTATTTTTACTTCCTTGTATGAAGTAAAAAGGAAGTATTGTAATGGCGAAAAGTTTCAGGCAGCGTATTTCAACGAAAATATCCATTTTCACCGCTATCGATATAAATATATTTATATATATATCCACTCTGTTACCCGGCTCGGTGATCTCAGTTTCTTTACTCTTATATGTTTGTAAATTGTACATTTTTTGCTTTAAAAATGATTGTATTATGTTGTTTTTATCTTCCGGTTAAGGTTTTTATGCCTTAAGAAAATCTGTATGCAGTATTTTTAGAATTATCAACAATTTAAAAATTGTTTAAGTGCAGCTAAGCCTTTTTTTTATGGCGGCCATTTATGTTTACATTTGAAACATGAGACTAGTGGATTTGTTGCCTATCTAGAGAAACTTAGCAAAAACAAAGATAACGCATTCATTTATTATCGCCAATTAAATCATGCTTAATTCTTTCTGGAATTTTTTCGAGGAAATAAGTGTTTAAGATTTACTTTGTAATTTTTAATATAGATATTTTGAGTTTTTATGTATTTTTGCCTTCTCGCGAAGTGAGAACTGAATTAATTAAATGAGAAATACTCAATTGTCTGTGAAAAATTGTTTTTTTGTTTTGTTTGCTTAATTTCTTTTATACATCATTCTAGCTTTATCATAGTATTTGAATAGAACATGTGGCAACGATTAGATAATTTTATTCTTTAAATGATATAAATTTTGTGCATTATGAGTTATAATATGAATGAAATATATAAGTTTACTGTTATATAGTTATTGGATTATATAACAATTAACTTAGTTTCCGTTATATAATTATTATAACTAATAAAATCTGTAACAAATAAAATATAAGAGTAAATAAGTTAACTGTTATATAATTATTAATACTGTTAAGTGAATCTAGCGCCAGAGTGTCGCTCTGGTAAACAAATACTAGAGTGAATTTTAAAGAATGCATTTATTCTATTGTGGTTTACGCGCTGTCGGCGAAGTAGATTTAATTCAATCCAATAAGTTTAAATGAGATGCAAGAAAAAATGCGTATAATTTAATATTCTGTACAAGGATGTCATGTGGTGTACACATCAGATTTTTTATTATTTGCTAATAAGAGAATATGTCTTGATCAATGATGCAATAATTTGTATAATTTTACTTTAGGAAATTTTAGGAATCCAGGTGATAACTGAATATCTTAGATTTTAATCTGTGCTAAAGAAAACTGCTAAAAAAAGTGTCCCCCTCCGAATTGTATCTTTAGGTGTAGTTTCAGTAGTTTCTTCATACAATTCTTTTTGCATGCATATCGTTGAAGGCATCATTTTGGTTATCACTGGGATTTTTTTTTTGTTTCGTACATATATGTAATATTTGTACATAAATATTGATCAGGAAAACATAGAGAATGGTTTAATGATGATTTGACTAAGCCAAGCTTTTAACGTTTGAGTGATGTGTATATTATTTCAGATGTCATAGAAAATACAAGTGAAGAAGATACTGACTATTGCCTTAGTCCCAAGACTACGGTGACTTCTGTTCAAACTCTATTGGACTTCATGAACCAAAGGGGATTCAAATACATTGATAAAGCAGCACTTTGAAAAATACACAGTGAAATTCAACAAACATTTAACCATTCTGAAAAACAAAGCTAAAATATTGATAGTTTTGGGAATTAATTCGTACAATATGCAAGAACACTGATAGTTTGGATTATCCATGTTTTTCAGTTATCCGTGATTTTCTTCCTTGACCATTAGCCTAGGTAACCTAGAGTATACTGTACTTTGATAAATAAAAACTTTTCTTCCTTACTTTAGATTTACTCATTATAAAAGTGAAAGAAGATTACAAAATGAAATTAGTCAAAAACGGGAAATTTAGAATATCTAATTAAATATTAATATATTTTGCATCAGATTCATATTTCTACTAATTGAGTAACTTGAAAAAGGCATTATAAAGTAAATTTATGTCAGTTTGGAAATCTCTGACAGCTGTGAGTGTACAAAAGTATGTTTAAGGTTGTATATATGTATGTATAATTATTATATAATGAAGTCTTATTGAATTAAAGCAAATGCCTTATGTATATATATTTTATAGATTAAAAAAGCTGGCGGAATATCATTTAATGCTATGTGTAATCTTACAAAATGTGATGAAAAACTTGTACAGATGGTACTGCATGAATACAGTATCCTTTATTTTTGCATTTGGACTGTCTGTGTAGTCATGATTGCATTTAATTTTGCCTTAATATTTTTGGTGTGTTTTTCAAGTATCAGTTTTTTTTTGTTATGTAAAATGCAATGCTAAAAAAATGAGTAGGGAAATGACATTTTAATATGATGAAAAGGGTGCATGTGATGCAATTAAGTTTGAAAACCACTATTTTAGACTGTTTGATGGACTTTCTGTGATCTGTAGTTTTTTTTTTTTCCAGCCCGAATGGGGTTCAGCCCAGAAGTACTATTAGACTCGAAACGGCATATTGCATCAAATCATTATAAACAGCTGTATCACTTTTCAAATTGCTACTGCCTAATATCATTGCCGTATATTATATTTAAAGAAACTAAATAATGAAGAATATACATGAATGTATGTATGTTTCTTGCATTGTGGAAAATAAAAAAACCAGTGCCTAGAGTCATCAAATTTTGATTAACATAGTCCTCCACCTGAACGTGGGCACCTGGAAGCCTGAATTTGGAATTTCCTTTATTGTCTATGTCATATTTTGTAAATGAATTTGTCATGAATGTTGTCTTTAATTAATTTTTTATTGAAAAACTACACGCAAGCAATGGCAATACTGTAGGGATTAAAACATTTTAATCTCCAGCAAACGAGACTCTCTATCAGAAATTTGAAAGATATGCTGTTTTTAAATATTTAGCCCAATGTGGAGTTAACATTAAGGCTTTTGAAACACATATGCATCTATAAATAATAATAAAATAAATACCCATTTGGGTGTGATATAAAATCTAAAAGCTTTTGTATTTGTTTAATATATATTTCATTACTTTAAAAAATATATTTTATATATAAATGAAATATGTTCATAAACACATTTTCCTTTCAAGCCATTTTTTTTGCGTTCCTGCCTTAACCCGTCACTTTAGACCCTACATTCCTATAAAAAAATGCATGTTTTAGTACACTCCACCACCCCTCCAAGTTTGTCCCATGATCTATGAAACACCCTGCATATAATATATATATATATATATATATATTTGTGTGTGTGAGCTGAAGTTAATGTTGCTTTCTATCTGGCAGATATCTGTTTAAAGTTCCTTGTATGTAAGTTCACTCAGAAACTGATGTGTGAGGTCTTTTATTAACAAAATGGGCAAATTTTTCTGTCTTGTTAAATGTTTGTTTTTTTAATAAGATAAGAAATTCATTAGTGGTCATAGCTTTTCTTCTATTTTTAGTTGAGTTTGACTGGTCCATCCTTTATACATTGGCAGAGTCAAGCTTTTGCTAATATTTACAAACTCTACCACTTTTTTTTTATTCAGTGATCATTTCATAGGCCAGAAGCTATAACATCTTTTATCCATTTATTTACATCTGAGTTTTATCCCCTTGATTTTATTTTTCTCATATTTTCAGTTTTGTTATGTGTAGCATGAAAAGAACACGTATTGCATGGTTGAGAAATATTAAATAAAATTAAAGTAATGATTTTAAATGCATGTCAACTGAAGCATTTGCATGCAATAATATTTTTGTTTAATAACTTTTTAATTGATTTTTTTTTTTTTCTTTTTTGTATAAATTTTGTTTAAGGATCAGCTATATATGTTTCCTATATTGAGAAGATTTAAAGATATTTTAAAGTAATTTGTGCTTTTGTGCTCTAAAAATTTATAATACTCATTTTCTTATAAGTAAATTTCATATCTATGTCTAGTGGGAAAATAATAAACAATAATAGCTTTGGTTAAGTGTTTAACTGCTACTTTAGTGATAAAACATTAAAAAGAAAGTATGAATTATTTTAAAATCAATTATAACATGAGCAGACTTGTAGCACTCGCAAAAACGTAAATTTTAGTTTGCATGGAAAGCAGAAAAGAAAGTGTTTAGTGAAATGAAGCTCTCTCATCTAACATAAATATGACAAATGGCCAAAATATATAAACATAAGAAAGGACAAATTATAAGTAACTAGCTGTTACTTGGCATGCATTGCAATGCTACTTAAAGGAAAGCAAGTGAGTGTTTTAATTCTGTTATGAATTTTATTTTGTGTGTTTCAATTGGCTTGTGTCACCTGATACCAAGGTTGATAATGGTTCAAGTAGTGAATTTAATTATGGCAGTTTCTCTTTTCCACCTGCAAAGCGCATTCCTGGTGCTTCATTCTTAAATTTGAGGGCTCTGCAAAACATGCATAATTTATTCTTCTTTTCAACAATCACACTTGGATGAAGACTGTAATCATAATTAACATCATAATGGAATGCACCAACATTTAAATCAGCGTGCAACGCTCATGTGGATTGAGATAGTATATACGCTAACATTTTCCAGTCTTTCTTCCTATTGCTCATCAGTTTCAAACAAACGGGCTTAAGCAATGCTTACTCAAATGTTTCCCAGTCTCGCTTCCTGTCACTCACTTTTTTTTCAGATGATATGTTGTGTAATCGAACATTTTCCTTACTTTGTTCCTGGATCTCATTTGTTTCTGAAGTTCATGATGCTTTTTTTTTTATTTTCGTGGCGTAGATCGAGCAATTGAATTTCGTTTTATTGGCACAATTCATTTCACAGCGAAAGTAGTACTATTAGAAATATACATTCAAAAAGCAACGAAAGTGCATGTGATGCAATAACACACATGTTAATGTATCAAAAATTAAATATTTTATGCTTTGCTAAGATACTTTAAAATATTTTAACTTGGGCAGTGGCAACACATTTCTCTTAAATAGCCAAGTTTGTTTATTAAATTTGAGACAAATTAATAATATAACTGCGTTTTCCCAAGTGGCAACACAATTTTTTTATATTGCCAAGTTTTCTGATTAAATTTGAAAAGTCCGAAATACGGACTCATCGGGACTTCGGCAATTCCAGATTTGGAATTTGGGATTTTTCTGGATATTAGATCATCACTAATAATCATGATTTATTAGATCATCAGTTTCAATCTAGTAAGATGGCATGTAGAAATTATAAAATCAAAAATATAAAATCGTGATTTATAAAATAATGAAGTATTTATGATGTAAAGGATATCAAAATTTACAAAAAAAGCTTAATATTTATTTGTTTCCCTTATTAAACATTTCTTTCAATGTAAGTTGTTTAAGTTGCTTCATTTTTTGTACTAACTTTCCCTTTAATTCTATAGACAGACATAATCTCTTGTTTAGTTACATTGTTGGAAGTCCTGTAACTGCTGTTTCGAGAATTCTGACTAACTTGTCAATCGAAATTTTCTTGTTTTCAGTAACTTCTCTGTCACTTTCTTCACTATCCGGTAGCGGTATTTTCTGAATCTAGAATCATATTACAGATTTCGCCATTCATTAATTGATTGATGATTGAGAAGCATTGTCATCACAATGAAAAACTTCTTTTATATCATCTTCATTTACAAGAGGGGATCAAATGAAAAGGTACGAAAATGACACGATGGGTACAGATGTAGACATTATTCATAATATACACTATAGGCCTGAACACAACAATCCCACTGATGAACAAGCTGCAGGATTCCTTGTTCCCAAAATTCCTGTGGCTGTGACAAGACCCAGTCCTTCACAGCGTCCGTACGTCGTCCGAGTTGAAGCGCTTCTCTTTCAAGTGTTTCTTCAGTGGACCAAACATATGGAAATCCCAGGGCGACATGTCCAGACTGTAGGATGGATGGTCCAACGTCTCCCACTTGAACTTGGCCAGTTCCATGTGTGTGACTCTGGAGACGTGTGGACGTTCGTTATCATGGAGCAGAACCACACCCTCCGTGAGCAGCCCTGGTCTTTTGTCTTGATGGACCTGTGTAGTCGTCAGAGTGTCTCACAGTACACATCGGAGTTAATGGTTTTTCTGTGCTCGAGGAATTCCACAAGTAGCGGACCTTGAACGTCGGAAAAGATGGTTAGCAACACCTTGCCTGCTGACGGCACGGCTTTGAACTTTTTAGGAAGAGGTGGCGACGCATGCTTCCACTGCATGCTGTCTCTGGCTCGTAGTAATGGCACCAGGTCTCATCACCTGTGACGAACCACTCCAAGAAAGTGGGGTCTTCCTGATACCGAAACAGATGTTGCAGTGCTAGCCCCATACGCAGTTCCTTTTGCTGGTCGGTGAGCTGCTTCGGAACCCAAGCAGCACACACCTTTCGATATCGCAACCTGTCGTGAACAATTGTCCACACGGTTCCATAGTTGACATCCACCTTCACTGCCAACCTTCGCAATGTGACACACCGATCACTTCTCACTAGGTCGTCCACCTTGTCGATGAGATCGCTCATGATGACAGTGTTTGCCTGGCCTGGCTTTTTTTTTTCATGGCCTGCACGAAAACGAGCACTCCATTTTCTGACAGACTTGTCAGAGACATATTTCTCCCCGTAAATTGTCACCATCTGGCAATGAATAGCTGCCGGTTTCTCACCTTCCGCTGTCAGAAATCGGAGAACACATTGCTGTTCCTCAGTCGTCGAATTTTGCAACGCGAATGCCATCCTGTCCTCATACGGACTGCCACATCATTTGGACGCCGCTTTTGATAAGAGCCTTTGCTCTCTCCTGCACATGCGGGTGCTCGCACATGCTCCAATCCCAGTCAGAGATTTGATCACCCCTTGTATTACCTCTTCTCCACATTTCTTTATAAAACCCATTAATTGGAAAATTTCACCTTCGTTTTGTGATATCCAAAAACCTTTAAAATTAGCGACTGTCATCATCAAATTTCCTCCACTATACATATTTGGCTATGCATCACGAGCTTGGCAGCTAACGACAAGTTGTTCTGTTAAATTTTATCTTGCTTCTATCACGCACCGAGATAATTAAGCCTGAATTGTATTAGTTTAGTTATTTATTATACTTATGTCTATTTCTTGCACATGCTTCTTATCAGAGCTCTGAATAAATAAATTCCCACATATACTTAAGCCTTTTTGAGTGCCGGGGCTAGATATCTTATCGACCAAAGCGGTCTCTGTGGGTACTAAATTCTCTGACTCGATGTGGCCACACAAACCCTGGTGCTGGTTCTGGGTTTATGTGAATAACAAATCAGTTACTCTTAATTCAAATAGCCCTAAATGTAATCTTTGGGTTTATGAGTATCATCAACAAAATCTTTTTTTAGCATATGGAAAGAAATTTTTGGTAAATTTTTCCTCGTCAACATTTTTAGCGCATTTAACTTAAATCTGTGATTATCACCAAGCGTAATGTCAACATAAAAGGTTACCATACTCCTTTATTATTCAATTACTAACATAAAAAAATTGTTTAGGCATCACTACATGAGTCATTACTCAAGTTGTCATGGGTTGATAAATATGCGGTGATGAAATGAAAGTATAATAAATAATGATTCGCCCAGTTGGCGTCTGAGGAACGATGTATCTATGTGGAATGTTTCGGTTTGAAATACTCAGCAACGGAGCCAAATTATTGATTGTACAATTTTATGCTAAAATGATTGTGTCTTCAATAACAAGATATTTTATTTAATGTCGAAGTGAAATTAAGAATCGGGACTCTCCAGATGTTTTATTATGTGTGGAGGGGGGGGGGAATTAAATGCACATGCATAAAACCTACCAGAAAAACGTTGGTGGTGGTTTTGAGGTCAGGATTTTAGATCATTCCAAATTATGGACATCCAGATTTTGGACTTTGTACTGTATTACAAAGTGTCAATGAAAATTTTTTAAATCACTGAGTTCTTATTCAAAGTTTGTTAAATTAGCATAAAATATGTGTGTATAAAAAGTGCGGAACCTATGGCCTGGTTTTTGAGAAATCTTATTCAGACAGTGGCCTTCCTCTTGTTTTGAAGGTCAAGTATGGCAAGTTTTATAAAGATCAGAATTAACCTGTAAATTTGTATGAGAGACAAACAAACATTCATATATAATTCATATTCATATATATATATATATATATATATATAGAGAGAGAGAGAAGAGAGAGAGAGAGATTATAAGAAAATTCCAGTTGTGTAAAAAGTGAAGCAAAAATCTAAAAGTAGTAAATCAATAAAACCACGAATGATCCACAATTTCAGTTCATACAAAAGTTGAAGAATTAAATGACTGAATGATGAGCTGAAAAATAAATGAAAAAGAAATTTAAGTTAGAAATATGAATATTAAAATGAATATAAGCAATGGGCAGTAAAATTTTATGTAATCATGTAGTATGTGATCTACCACTTTTAATTAGTTATTTATTTTTTAGTCGGTGACACTAAAATTCGTTGTTGTTATAATAATTCCTTTTTCCTGCTATTTTATCGCATGTTTGAATTTAAAAATACCATTTTAGTAGCACTATAAGGAAAAAATAAATAATGAAATACTGCATGATGACTAAATTATGTATATGTCTCTAAAACATGTATAATTTTATTTGCTGCACTTTGATCATATAATTGCATTCATGGAAAAATTTGTAGTTAACTAATGTGATAAATAATAAAAAAAAACCCAACTACTTGTGAAAGAGATACTAAGTTCATCTCAGTTCTGCTACAGAGTGATTAGAACAAAGGGGAAAATTATATATTGTTACATAAAGCCTAAAAAAAATGCAAAAACAGTTAAGTGGACTAATTATACATTATGTTTATACTTTTATATTAATATGCCATACTGACTATGGATGAAGGGTATTCGTTTTATTACATGCTTTCTTTTCTGCACTCCAAGCAAACTGAATTTTATGTATAGTACTGTTTTTTCTTACTACTGCATTATGCTCCTTAAAAAGTCTGTTATATTTTATAATCTTGTATTCTCATTTTATTGGTTGTCTCTTTCTCTTATTTTCATACAGGAGTTTATAACTTAAATGTTTTAAAGACAATAGAGTATTTTGTTTTAATAATGTGAAAGTAAATTCAGAAGTTTTAAATGATGCTGTTATACAAATATTTTTGTTTTGCCATTTATCATGTGTGAAATAATATTTATCTCATCATGCTATCTGAAATTACTTTTAAAAGTTGAAGTATAATAAAGGGAAAAAAATTGCAATTATTATTTTTCTTTTGATAGCATAGTTAATTGTGCACATACTTTAAAACGTATCTGTAAGAGAGACAAAACTGATATGTGTTACTAGCAGATAAATTTTTTATTTCTTTTTTAAAAAAATATATATATATATACAGTACAAAGTTCGTAATCCGGACGTCCATTATCCGGAATGACCATAATCTGGACCTCAAAGCCACAAACTTTTTTTTGGGTATGCTTTTTTTTAATGCGTTTAGGCATGCACATTTAAGCATGTGCATTGGGAGTATGTGTCTCCAGATACGTTAAAAAATGTTTGGCATAATTTATGGCCATCTGCCATATTTCATTGGGAGGACGATGAAGATAAAAGCCGTGAATTTGAAGGTTTTCGAACATCGCAAACTAAAGTTGAAATTCTCCAGTTATTGGATTTAAAAAAGAAATGTGGAGAAGCGGTAATAAATGAAGATGATATAACAGAAGTTTTTCACTGCAACGACAATGTCCCAATCATCAATCAATTAACGGATGGTGAAATCTGTAGTATGGTTCTAGATCCAGAAAATACTGCTTCCGATAGGTGGAACTTTTAACTGAACAAGAAATTATGCCTGCTTATAGAATTAAAGAGAAAGTATTAGCACAAAAAACAAAGCAACTTAAACAACTTATATTGAAAGAAATGTTTAATAAAGTAAACAAATAAATATAAAGCCTTTTTTTTTTTTTTTTTTTTTTTTTTGTAAATTTTGATACTTTTTAGATCATAATTGCTCTTTATTTCATAAATTACGGTTTCGTATTTTTAATTGTATGATTTCTGCAGGCCATCTTACCAGATTTAAATTGTTGATCTATAATCTGGAAAAAACCTAATCTGGAATCGCTGAAGTCCTGACGAGTCTGGATTACGGACTTTGTACTGTATATAGATTTTAAAAATATTATATGTTGATAATGCTTTGTTTTTATCCTTAATTTTAATCCAGAGATATTCAATGCTGAAGTTTTATTTAGAGAAGATTGTACACCAGATGAATTAATAGATGTAATTAATCGAAATCGAGTATATTTGCCTTGTGTATATGTGTATAATAAGATTGATCAAGTGTCTATTGAGGAAGTTGACAGATTAGCTCATTTACCACATTCTATTGTAGTAAGGTATGTTGTCATCCTGCTTATTACATTTTTGGAATGGGTTTATATGTGATCATTAAAAAGTATTTGGAATTTTGGGCATTTTTATGTATGTAAAGCTAGTTTTTAAAATTTTAAAATTTGATTGTTGTCTTAAAAAAGTATTAATATTATGCATTGTGATAGTTAGTATTTAAGCAGAAGCTGCCTATCGTATCTATCATATTTCAGAATTTTTTGGTCATAATAACCATAAATCAGTGGGCTAATGTTGGAATTAAAATCACAGATATCCCATTTGCCAGCTGGATGGGATAACTATTCATACAGAGGTGCAATAATTCCCTGAAACTATTAATATTGGTTCGTTATGAAATGAATGCACAAGTCCGATGAAAAATGAACAAAATTTATTATTATCACAACCAAAATACTTAAATTTCCTCAGATATTTGTGCAGTATTACAATATCTCACAGTAGTTATCTTTTAACTATTCAAACGTTCAAGAGAACTTAATTCAAAACAGCTAAAGAAAGCTAATCCGCGAATTCGCTACAGTCAACAAGAGCAGTTTTCTAAACAAACTCTTAAAACAACAACAAACTAACTGAATTGAGAGGTTTTCCTCTTTTTTATAAGATTTTAAATCGCATGCGAGAATTTTCTGGAATTTTCTCGAAATAAAAAAAAGAGATATTTATTAAATATTAAATGCACGTGGTCCTGTATTTTTAGTTTTTCGGCTTAGCTTTCTTTTATTAGTTATTACGCGCTGCACTGCACAGGAAATAAATCAATTTAATTTATAATTCTACTTACATTAGCTATTTAAATACCAAATCCGTAACACTGCCCCCTTCCCAAGGACTGCACGTCCCGGGCAGTACAATCCCTGGACAGGAAGCCAAACTTACAACTAAGGCATAAATACAATAATAAGCATTTCATTACAACATGAACAATAAATGCAATAACTAAAACAAATCAAATACTATCAAATACAAAAATACAAATCAAATACTAAATACACATTTAGAAACAAAAGGACCATGGTCTTTCACTATTTACAATTATTTACACTACGTTCTATGACCATAGTAATGATCTAACCTGTCGTAATGAACGACTTTAGGTTTAGATTTCAAAGACTTACGGATCCGAACCACGACATCATTCAGCCTGTTTAGGATGGTGTACGGACTATCCCAAGGTGACTGTAATTTCGGGGATTCCACAACCACACCTTGTCTCCTTCGTGGAATTGATGTTCAGTAGCTCTTGTGTCATATCGGGTCTTCTTCTTCGCCGCCAAGTTGACTCGCTTTTGTGCAAAGTTGTGCATCACTTCAAACCGGGCCTGGAGATCTTGAATATATTTCTCAGGCAATGAAGGAGCATCCAGAGGACGACCAAACAAGAAGTCACAATGAATGATGAAGGTCACGACCGAAGAGCATCTGTGATGAGGAATAGCTGGTAGTCTCATGGACAGCTCTGCAGTAAGCCAGTAAAAACAGTGGTAATTTCTTGTCCCAGTCCTGTTGGCTTCTGGAAACCACTAATGAGAGGTTATTAAGGATGGTTCGATTGAACCTCTCTACCATGCCGTCCAACTGGGGATGTAATGGCATTGTTTGGGTTTTGTCAGTGCCGAGTAGTTTGCATAGTTCTTTGATTACTGCCGAGGTAAAATTCCTTCCCTGATCGGAAATTAACTGCAGAGGCACTCCGAACCTGGAAATCCTGTGCTGTACCATCACCTCCGCTATTGTGACAGCCTCTTGATGAGGAATAGGATACGCTTCAGGCCACTTGGTGAAGTAATCAATGACAACGAGTATGTATTTGTTGCCATCAGCAGTTTGTGGTAGATGTCTTAAGATGTCAAAGGCGATATGTTCAAAAGGCGCCCCTATGTTGTAACATTGCAGCTTGCCTTAGCTTCGTCTCTTCGGTCCTTTCCTCCCTGCACAGGCATCGCAAGATCGGCACCAGTTTTGCACGTCACCCTTTGCATTGTTCCAGTAATAGCGCTCACGATCTCTCTGCAAGGTCTTCATTATTCCAAAGTGACCTCCTGCAGGGCTATTATGTAGTTCTTTAACCGTAGTTTAAATTCTTGCCGGTGCATTACACAGTCCAAATGGCATCACCTTGAATTGCCAAAGCCCTTGTGCCATAGTAAATGCTGTCTTTTCTAGGTCTTCAGGATGTATTTCTACCTGCCAATAACCACTCTTTAAATCAAGTCTTGAGAACCTTGCTTCCAGAAAGAGTGTCTAGAATGTCGTCAGTTCTAGAAAGAGGGTAACTGTCTTTCTTCGTAACCTCTTTCAACCGGCGATAGTCAATGTAAAATCTTGTTGAGCCATCTTTCTTTCTGACGAGGATGATGGGAGATGCCCACGGACTTGCTGAAGGCTCGATGACATTGCCTTCTTCCATATCCTTTAAAAGTGTTTGTACCCCTTCCTGTTTAGCAAACAGTAGACGTCTTGGATGTTGCTCGATCAGGGGAGGGTCGCCGGTATCTATTCTATGTTGAGTCAAACTGGTTCGACCCACGTCAGAAGACGAGCGGGAGAAAACAACTTGAAGATCTTTAATGACGCAATCGGCATCTTTCCTCTCTTCATCGTTTAATCGTGTATTCTGCAATAACTCCAATGTAATGCTCTAGAGGACATGGAATCTGGGATGTTACTCTTTCTTTCAATGTTGGTTACTGGAGTACATGCTGCAACGACTTCACCTTTCTTAATAACTCTCGCCTTCTCAGTTACATTGGCAACTCTCACCAGGATAACTGTTCTCAATAGGTCGACGAGTGTTGAGGCTACTAGTACTCCTTTCAAGGTATTACAATTATTGAGATATTCTATGATGCCATAGCGGAAATTTCTATTTTCAGCTATGAATCCAGGAAGCAGAAACTCTGTTCTTGCGGGTATTGTGATATCATCGGGAGCTATGATTTTGTGGATAGATTTAACTCCTTCATTATTAATTTTAAATAGAGTTATGTCCTCAGATGCAGAATGCAATTCGTTATTTTTAAAGTCCAAGGAAAAATTGTATTTTCTTAGAAAGTCCAATCCGAGTATGCAAGGATCAGTGATCTCTGTTACAAATGCTGTGTGATGGTAAGCGGCACTTCCAAATGTGATGTTTACTTTTCTGTTGATGTTGATCCTCTCACCGGACACAGAACGCAGGGCAGCGTCCAGATAAGTTTGCTTCCCAATTGTTAAGCCAAATCTTTTCGGATGATGGTAACGTTGGCTCCTGTATCTATCATCATATTGCAGGGAACTCCATTAATATGTCCTATTATGAAAAGTCCATTACTGCCGCCTCTCACTGCAAAAATCTGAAGTGCTTTAAACTGGGGCTTTTCATTATCTGGCAACCTCTGCCCCGCGAGATGGCTGCTAATTAGTTTTCCTGCTGCTTACAAGGAGAGGTCTTAACACCCGTACCATGGGGTGTTCTTCAGTTTCGTCATATGTACCCTTCAGTACCGCAGTTCCAGCATTTTATGGTTGGTTTCTTGTCACCAATATTCTGTCTCAAGGCATTCAGTTGTCTAGTTAAATCGTCTAGACGAGCAGTGACTTGATCCCCTGGCTCCTGGACTTGAGCAGCTCTGACTTGGTGGCGGTCTTGACGAGTGGCTTGCTGGGCTGCCTCGAATTTCATCGCGTACACTAAAGCACTTTTCAAATCTTTAACATCGGCCATTCGCAGAGCTTTCTGTATTTCAGAATCCCGGATGCCGTCAATGAAGTAATTGCAGGGATAGGATTTCCCTTGTTTCTGTCGGGCACTCTGAAAAGGCGAGATGGGATAGCCTTTCAACATCTCTGGCGAGTTCCTGGAGTGTTTTCGTGGGCTTCTGTTGGCGGGATTTTAATTGAAGCCTGCTGTAGTCTTTTAAACACATTTCCCCCCAAAGCGCAGCTCCAACGCGCCGGACAGAGCTTCGAAATCTAGCCTTTTGTTTTCGGGAAGAGTCTGAAGGATATCCGCTGCGTCTGCTCTCAAAGAAGCAGCAAGACGACAGGCCTTAGCCTGGGGATCCCATCCATTTGCTTCCGCCACTATAGAGAACTGTGTCTTATACTTGCCAAGAGGTCTTCCCATCATAAGTGGATAGCTTCAGAGAGGGCCGAGCAGGCAAAGGTAAAAATTTGAAACCATCCGAATTGTTCCCTGCCATTGCTACAAATTTCTTTAAAGTATCAACTTTGGTAACTGCAGAAACGATATCATCAATTTGTTGTTGGATGATAGAAACTCGTTCTTCTATTTATTGCTCGACTGCAGAAATTGTGTCTTGAATTTCTCCAATTTTGTCTTCAACTGTATCTATTCTTCCTTCCATAGCCTCGAACTTGTTTTCTATTACGCAAGTAATTTCTTTTTTTCATTTCCTCTTTAACAGTTTTCATCTCCTCTTTAACGGATTCTTGACCAGCTTGAACGGCATCATCTCTTCCTTCACGAATTCTTGGCAGAATTTCATCCTTCCTTAACGGATTCTAAAATCTCTTCCTTAAAGGATGCTTGGCCAGCTTCCATTTTTTTTTTTTTTTTTTTTTTGGAATGCTGCAAATGCAGTAATCAACTGCCTTAATTGTTCTTCCATCGCTCTAGTTATTGGCATTCAAACCCCACTTCTGACACCAAAAATTGTTGCATGCTTACGGGTTCGTTATGAAATGAATGCACAAGTCTGATGAAAAATGAACAAAATTTATTATTATCACAACCAAAATGCTTAAATTTCCTCAGATATTCGTGCAATATTACAATATCTCACAGTATTTATCTTTGAACTACTCAAACATTCAAGGGAACTTAATTCAAAACTGATAAAGAAAGCTAATCTGCGAATTTGCTACAGTCAACAAGAGCAGTTTTCTAAACAAACTCTCAAAGCAACAACAAACTAACTAACTGAATTGAGAGGTTTTCCTCCTTTTTATAATATTTTAAATCGCATGCGAGAATTTTCTGGAATTTTCTCGAAATAAGAGATTTATTTATTAAATTTTAAATGCACACGGTCTTGTATTTTTAGTTTTCTGGCTTAGCTTTCTTTTAATAGTCGTCACACGCTGCACTGCATGGGAAATAAATCAATTTAATTTATAATTCTACTAACATTAGCTATGTAAATGCCAAATCCATAACACTATATAAGAACACATGAACAATATGTTGTACAAAAAATTTCCTTGAAGTAACTTAAATTTAACAAGCCAATCCTATATATTATATATTATCAACTTAAATTCATTGGACGTTAGATCCTGTGTGGTTATAAATATATCAAATAATTCCAGATATTGTATCTTAATATCCTAACTGCTAATTTTATATACCGTTTCATTAAGTTATACATAACTGTTATAATTTCTGGTTTTTTGTTGTGGATCATATCACTAGTCCATAGCAAATAAATTTTTTCTACCAGTCAGTCAGCCTAATGCTAGCAGAGCAATTTCTCATGTTGTATGGAAGGACGGCCCTTTTAAATTTTTGCAGTTTATTCTAAAATAGAATCTCCAGAATAAGTTCCAAGTATTGCAGTATTGTTGCGAACTTTTGTCACAATTACTGTAAGCCCTGCTACGTATGAGAAGAATTTTCTGAATAAAAATCATTTAAAGAGTATTTTAGAACAAAAAATCCTTATTTTGCATGTAAGAAATGCTGAAACGTTATAAATGTTTATAGAGTCGCAGCTAGGGTGTTCAGTGCCCAGGGACAACTGAAGATTTTGAGCCCGCTATTACTTGCCAAGAATTGGAAACATTTAATTCTAAAATTTGGTAACATCAATTTAGTGCCCCTTGGATGCTGCACCTGAGTATTGATGTTTCCCTTCTAGTTCCACCATTGAATGTTACGCATTTAAGAAATCCTTCGTTTTCCCTACATTATGGAAACTGGAGTAATCAAGTACACGTCTGTGGCATCATAGAGGGTTTTGAGAGGGGGGGAATGTTGTAGTTTTAAAACATTGGAATTAAAATTTTTCTTCAAAAATCAATAACGTTATTTCCCTATATGTCATTTTTTTAGGTATTTGTGTGTATATATAGAAAGGTAAATTCAGGAACTGCTTCGAGTGACAAAATATCTAGCTACGCCACTGACCCAGCAAAATGATGGGGAAACGCGCTCAAATAAATATTCTTCAAACTTTAGCCATGCACTATAAACTAAGTCACTTGTCTGTACTATGATTGGTCTAAATCTGCCTGAAGACTTGTTCCCTCTCAATGAAGGCGAATGGACCTGGCCGTGTATCAACCGAGGACCACAGAATGGTTTTCTCCATTAATTTGAAGGTGTTAAATGATACCCCCCTTTTTTTGAGACAATATTGTAAGGCTGTTATAGATGAGCTCCATATAAAAAGAGGAATCTCCATTTGATTGCCCTTGAAATTAATAGATTTGTATTCGAAATTATATATGAGCATAAGAACTTGTTCACCTAATGTTAAATTTTACATTGGATTATTTCACTTCCAATTTGGTTTTTATTGTTTAATTTTATAAAAATATAATAATACTTTTCTTAGAACAGTTTTTTCTTTGTGAATGTATTATGTTCAAAGTTAGAACTATGCACATTTAAGTAAATAATTTTGTATGTTAATTATTTTAAATAATGAATTGATATAACATTTTTTTATTTATATTTGTTGTTTTAATGAAAGCTTCTAATACTTTTTTTTAATGTACGTATATTTTCATTTCTCGTATATAGTTGTAATATGAAATTAAATCTGGATTATTTATTGGAGAAATTATGGGAATATTTAGCATTAATTAGAGTCTATACAAAGAAAAGAGGAGGCAAGTATACAAAATATTATTTACTTTATTATCATATTTATTTTATCTTTTAGGATACATTAACCAACCAAAACATTGAAACTACCTAACATGATTGTAGGCCTTTTTTGCAGTCAGAAACTTTTGCAATAGTTTTTGATACTATTGCAAAATTTTCATAAAATTCATGGTTGGAGTGATGCTTTTGGTAATTATGTCTCCATCTCAAACTACAATGCTTGATTGTATGGTAAATTTAGAATGCCTTTGTTTAAGGACAAATTCCGTATCATGTTTTTCTTCAACATATTGAAAGGTGCCACCTTAACTGGGGAATATACCATTATGAAGAGGTGTAGTGGTCATGCATTACCTTAAAGTTAGTATGATCTGTCAGAGTTGGTTCTGCAACGGTATGAGACTTCTTAAGGAAACAATATTCCATTATGTAGCTAAATAAGAAGGAACAGTTGAATAAAACATAAGCCGTCTGCCACATTAGATAAAGTAGGCGATTCATCTTAGCATTATATCACTTTTTAATACATCTTCCATCTATGCTAAAGCACTGCAAGATGGGCATCACTGTCAAGAAAACAGCACCCTGCTGAAAACTTAGTTACTTACTCAATTTCAGGCAATGAGAAGCACCATGTGTATTTGCACTATGAATGATGTTACAGATTTGAAGGCCTCTGCTCGTGCATGAGGATGGAATTTAAGAACCTATGACTTAATGGTATTTACCTATTTTCCTGTGAGTCATGAAAGTTGGCTGAAATGCCACTAAAGTTGTGTTAGTTGTTCATGCAAAATTTTGAAGGAACTGAGACATTTTTATTTAACAGAGAATCGGTATTCAACCTGCTTCATTTTTACACTTTGTGAAAAGGCTTTTGTCAATTTCTACTGTTTTGTTAGACCCTCCAATTCCACCTTAAACTCTGTGTAGAATGCTAAATACAGACTTCTTGCTGGTAATTATTTCAGTTTACTGCTGTTTTGTCAGCCGTATTCAGCTGACCACATCATGTCCATATACACTTTCTTTTTATGGTAGGATCCCATATTTTTGAAAATAATCCACTGCTTGCTATTCTGTAGAAGGCAGAATTTATATATATATATATATTTTCAAAATGCAACATAAATATACAGAAATAGTGGTTAATTTATATCTTTATACATAAAAGCAAGAGCTGGCTTAGAATCAGTTGGAATTACATCAAAGAAAAATGCATGAGTATGGTGTTAATCATGCTTATCCATGAGTGGTACTAAATTGCATTGTTTGACAGCAGTTTCACAATCAACAGGATAATGTATAAGTACCCATTAATTGTTATTCCATAGAAGCTGAGGTCCCTCATCCCATAGTATACAGACTGCCATGAGCATAACAGTCATCTCTGCTCATGACTATTACAGCCTTCTTTTGGTCATAGGTTGGGTACTGGAGGCCTGTTACCACAATTGAAATTGTGGATTATATTTAAAAAGTATTCATCCTGGTATTATAAACAAGATGAGGTAGCATGGTCTAATCTTTTTCCATCGCTTTGTTCATTTTCATTATGCAAATATTCAAGAGTTGGTTAGCTCTCAGTTTATTGGAATGATACAGGGGATTACATCAGTGGCTAACTCAAAATCACAGTTAATCTGAAGTCAGTTAAAAAAACATACTCTAGAGGGATATCCTGTATTATAATTAAAAATAAATGCTATTAACTATTTATCAATATTTCAAGCATTTAAATCTGAAGAATACATCATTACATAAATTTATCCAATATTGAAAGTTTCTCTGGCAAGCCTTCTTTTTTATTCTGCGTTTTTCTTGACTTTGTTTATGCTTCTTCTTTTTTATGGCACACTTGTTGTTTGTTTTTGTTTACTTCAAGATTACTCTTTCACTTCAAGATGAGTTAAAGAATAATGACTATCAACATGAGTTATTTCTAAGATAGAGCAGTTCACTTTCAACAATGTTTATAAATTTAGGATTACATGAAATTAAATTTCTTATCACTGTGGATAAAGACAACTCCCAAATACTTATGACATAATCTGCATCAGTGCTGTTAATACATAGAATTTTCTTTTCCTTTTTATATTTTTTGAAGACTGTTTTGCTACATAATAATAGTGTGCAATTGTAATTTTTCTGTTATTTCACAATAAATTAACTTTTTTTAGACAGTTCCAGTTGATCTGACCCCAGATAATTGGAAATTAGCATTGACTAGACCTGTGCCTTGTGAATAATTTGATCTGTTTTGTCTGTTTTAGATGAACCTAATTACTGCATTAAACATTCTTAGCAACTTCACTGTTTCTGAAATCCTCCTAGAAAGGTCATAACAATCTGATTTACATTGAAACAGATAAAACTTTTGTATTTTTCATAAACTGCTGAAATATAATTTCATGCATGGCTTGCAATCTTTAAGATGCTCTGTATGTTGCTGACCCATGCATAAATTTGATTTCAATGTTTTGACTGGTTTCCCTCTCTCTATATAGTATGTGTGTGTGTTTGCATCTATTTTTAAATTTTGAATTTGTTACAAAATATAAATTGTTGAAAAATGATAGCTATATGAGATATGGTGGTAAGCTTCCAAAATTACGTCTGTTATTGTTTTACTATTAATGACAAAAAGATATAGTACAGTCAAAAGTCGTTAATTTGGACACCCATAATCCGAACCTCAAAGCTAAAACTTTCTGCGCATGCGCCGCGTTGTCACATGCGCATAGGTGTTTACGCGTATGCGTAAGACCTTTACGTGTATGCGTAAGACCCGTACGCGTAAGACTGTGCATGCATGTGCGCAAGCACAGAATACGTTTTCGCGTGCACGTTTAATGTATAACGGACAGTATAAGCTAAAATTATCTAATTATCTATTTCAGTTAATGTTGATGATTGCGTTATGATGCAAAAGCAAAGTTTAAAGTTTATAAAATTAAACATTTAGCAGCAGTGGCAATAGAAGCTCCTTAAGATTATATGTTGTGCAGACATTGAAGACAATAAAAAGGTTTCAAACTTAACCAATTTATTAACAATATATAAAAAAAATAAAAACACAATGAATAAATTTAAACAATATCAGTAACTTAGAAATTATAATACAACCATCATTATCAAAATTTCATATATCAAATAATATTTTACCTGGTCTCCAAAATACTGTCATTCAATACGGGGGGGGGAAACGTATTCTAAACAGAAATTATGCATTTGAAATTTTTAAATAATGAAAATTAGCTACACTATCAATAAGTCCATGCTTAATGGTCAAGAAGGCACCTGAAAATTAAATTAAAATCCTTGAGAGCACTTAAATCTGGCCTAACTCCGCTCACTATAGTTAAACACGATGGAATCACAGGCTTAGAATAAACATCGCCGCTAACTTATGTTAAACGCCGCCTTCATGAAGAACATGGATGCCACCCACGGTAGTCACTCACATTGTAGTCTCTTTTGAGAATCCAGGAGAAGTCATCAAACCGCATACCCAAGAGCCAAGAAAGCAGGAACTAGAAGGGATAAGCCAGAGCGCAGCAAGATACTTATACCAGAAGTAGGCATGACACGTCATCTCACGGCAACCAATCAGCTATCAGCACGACTTGGCTTTCCAGATGACGTAACATCACATTTCCATTTTGCATTTAATTAGCTGAACAATCCGTTCTCAACACAAACATTGGCAGTGAAAAAAAAGAGTAGAAGTAATTACTATATCCCTTTAAAATAAGAACTAAGCCTAATAAATATTTCAAGGAGGAGAGATGATGCAGAAAAAGGGTTACAATAAGCATATTTTCCAACACGTTGTTCCTTAATCTTTGAATTGGATGCGGCTTATTTTTTGCAGACTCAAAGAGCAATTTTATAAAAGTAAACTTGAACTTTCGATTATGTCAAATAGAATTTCCGATGCTGGAGCTCCCAAAGGATCTACAAAAAAAGTATGTTTCAATGTCCTCAAACAAAAAGTGGAATTGCAGCAAAAAAGGATAAGACATGAGAAGGTGACAGAGATTAGTGAAATGAAAAAATTTCGATTGGCAAGTTAGTCGGTAATCTCGGCACAGCAATTACGGACTTGAACACCGGAACTTTGTAACTGAACAAGAAATTATGTCTGTTTATAGAATTAAACAGAAAGTATGATCACAAAAACAAACAACTTAAACAACTTACATCGAAAGAAATGTTTAATAAAGTAAACAAATAAATATTAAGTTTTTTTTTGTAAATTTTGATACCCTTTAGATCATAATTGTTCTTTATTTCATAAATTACGGTTTCATATTTTTAATTTTAGAATTTTTGCAAGCCATCTTACGAGATTTAAACTGATGATCTATAATCCGGAAAAATCGATAATCCGGAAGTCCCGACGAGTCCGGATTAACGACTTTTGACTGTATATATCAGACTGTAACAGTGTCTTATTGGTGACTAAAGGCACTCTGGTTCTTACTATAATGTATTCCTGTATAGAGCATAGGGTGAACATCAAATTTTCCTACAAGTTAAAAAAAGATTTTGCAATAGAGCATAGAATGATCTAAAAAACTGTTATCTAAAATACCCTACCCCATGGTCATACATCAGTTTTACTAAGGGAAGAAAACATGCTGAATGACCAAAAGGATTGTCTGTCATTCTAAGGAAATTGTGGAGAAATGTAATTGCACCTTCTAGCTAAAAGTTCCTGATTGGCATTTGGAGAGGATTCCTTGTGTGAGGCCACACTTACAAATATGTATCAAGTCATACCTCCTGGATGACAGTGCACCAACACACACAGCAGTGGCCATAGCACAGTTCTTAACCAAGTTCCCATACTCAACCATCCATCTTCCTCCTTAGACTTGGGTCCTGCTGGTTTCTTTCTCTTGCTTAAACTTAATTTGATATTGATAAATGACATTTTATGAGTGTTGAGGGCATGAAACAGAAGGTAGAGAATTTTATGTGACCAGTTTCAGCAGTG